TTTTTCTCTGTAACACTTGAAAAGTGAATGTGTCCAGCCAGAGCCATACCAGCCCTGTTTTCCCTCCCTGAGCATTCACTTAGCCTAGTAAGACTAGTAGAGCTAAGGATAAGAGAGACATGGGAGAGATTTTGTCCTGCTTGGATCATCAGTAGCAAAGCTGGTGCAAATGTCCAGATCAGAGAGAATCTGACTGGATTCTTCAGTTCCCAGGGGAAACTGCAAAACTGCACAGCTGACACAAAGCACCAGGGCAGAAATCACACCGTTTTCATTTCTGAGGCAAAGGTGTTCAATTAAGTTTTGTTTCATGACAAGAGATATGAAACTCAGTGAAATCATTCTTATTGTCACTTCTTGAGTGGGACTAGCTAATATTCCCCACCACTGGCACTTCGCTTCAATCAACAATTTTACACACAGACTTCATCATCTTCTAATAGCCAAACTTAAACTGTTTAGTGGCAGCCATGGTAGCTTCTCACATACACTGTACACTGTGCGGCAACAGTTACCCATAGTGAACAATGCTAGCCTCATACGCTCCACTGAGACTATGCCTGAAACAAAAGGCCTGCCTTTGGACTTGAAATTAGTTAATACTGCATAACACTGCTGTGTGAAAACAGATGGAAGAAAGGGCAAGACATTAGCTATTTCCTGGCCAGCATTTCTTTTCTTACACATGAAAGTCTGTATTAGAAACTGAGGCAAAGGAACTTTGAGAAATACCAGTGAAGCGTGTGTTTTGGGGAGGAACAACTGCTAGCTATGATGGTTTGAAGGACAGTATAGATTAATTGCAGCTCTCCCGTGCTGAAAACTCTACCTTATGAATACATAATCATCATAGATAACTGCTGGACAAAACAGCTGTTCAGGCGCTCCATTGCATATATTTATAGTGGTCACAATTCAGAAAATAAGGTACTGCTTTACTAAGAGAGTTAAAAAGTGATGCAATTTGCAACACACACATATACGTGTTAAACAACCATATAGCTCCTCCACTGCATTGGCACAGTATTGTAATATATGTTGGCATTATGTTAGGAACAGCAGTTTCCTAGATTCAGCCATATTAATGCTCATCCTAATGAACTCTCTGGAGGAACTGTCATAAATGACAGAATCTCATAAAAGAGCTTCACTTCCAATAAAGGCCAGAGATAGCACACACAATGATTACATTCAAGGGATGAGCTCTGATCTGTGATGTTTTGAGGCAAGGCAGTGATATTTCTGGTTTATCAGTTATTCACTGGGTTAAGCTTGTTTCTTTCATCTCTGCAGAAGCATTTGAAGTAGGATTCACGGAAAAGAACTTTAAAGATGTTCTCTAAAGTTATTAGAGATAATAACTGAAATAGTTCTTTTGGCTGACAATAAAGTCAATGGCTAAAATTATTCAAGCTTTTAAAATCAGATAATAAGCTACATTTCTCCCTACTGGTAATCAGCTCATTTGGTTGTAAAGATCTTAATAAACTCAGCTTGATTAACTCCAACCTAGTTATGGAAGGTTATTCAATACTGTGGAGATAATTTTTTTTTTTTTTTACTAAAAAATAACATAGAAACTATGGAGGAAAAGAGATGGGACCACAATTTCAGCTGTTGACAGCTGGCAGCATACATGCTTGGAACTCGGCAAGGCTTTGTTGTACAGATAAGATGAAGAAGATGGGAAAGGAAGGTCATCACCACTCTGGTCTTCTCCCCGGCAAGTTCTAGGACCGTGAAAGATTTTGCTGAGGAACAACTGTTCCTCGAGCATAAAGAGATCAAATCATCAGCCACTGCAAAACAGGGACATTCCATTTAACCTTTAAAGTAAGTAAGAAATAGTCTGATCCACCCAGATATTCCTCTGCAGTTTGGCATGAATTGTATAAATTTGTCCACAGAAATTAAAAACCTGACAGAGGTGAATGTTGTGGCCATACTTCAAGAGATTTTAAGATATCCCTATGATAGGCTAACGTCAACGGTTCTCCCTAGTGGAGGATCCAGGGTTTTTTGGGTAGCATACGATGCTTGCCAGCGTAGCTAGATCTACCGAAAGAGTGAAAAAAAAAAAAAATTGTAGGTAACCCTCAAAACCTGGAAATCATAATGGATTTCAAGGTAACCATACTGGAAAGTTTCAGTGCAAACCACATCTAAGCTGGACAACAACATTAAATAAGTTGTCTCTTTTCTGCATGACCCCAGTCAGCTAGATCAAACATATCCCAAGTGCTAGCAATTTATCTGTGTAGGAAGTCTGAGCTGTGCTTTAGTGACCCATGGATAGTGTTAAAAAAAAAAAGAGAGAAAAGAGACACCTCTGTTGCAAAAAAGTAAACACTGAGGAATGACACACCTTAGGGAAAATTAGCATTTCATTGCTTTGTGGGAGTGACTGCTGGGCTAATTACATCCATGGAGTATTATAGCAGTACAGATTTACTTTGACGTGGAATACTTCTCTCTCCTGAGATGCTACTTTTAATGCCACTCAGGAAAGCTCACTCATGTGAAAGCATTTACCCTACAAAATACATACAGATCTCACAGAGAGGAACTGAACACTCCTGAACTGAATGGGTTTCCAAAGTGACTCTTATTTGGCAATGTGAGAAGTTAGTCTCGTCCAACATGCTTTTCTCTATGCATTAATAAAGCAATTGCCTCTTAGATACTTACAATCAAATTGTAGCTTTACTACCTTCCTTTTTACAGTGACACCTGACAGGTAGACTTAATTCATCAAGTAAGTAATAAATATAACAGAAATCAAACAATGCTCACAAACTGTCTACCTACTTCTGGGAATCTACATACCTCCATTGCCATTACGTTTGTAATGAACGTTATTTGATGATAACTGCACTAACAACTTCTTCTCTATCTGATACACAGGCGCTCTGGCATTGTCATAACCCATAACATGCTAATTGTGTCCCTCTTCCAGCAAACAGGACTCAAACATGAGTAAGCACAACTCAAGCATGACTCAAGCCTTCTGCCTCTTCGCTCTGTTCTTCTGTCTCCCAACATCATTAAGATGCTTCCCCTAAAAAGCACAAACAAGTCCATATCTGCTCCATCTTTTTCCCTCTTTCACTATATTTTCTGAAAAAGTGGCAAACAAACAAAAACAAACAAAAATAAAAAATTTATTCTAGAATCTGCTTACAATTCCCTGTGATTATGACCATGCACAGGCAACCAGACGTTGCAGTGAAAAGAGAAGCACAGTGGTGAAAAGCAAACAACTGCTCTAAGCATTAATAAGTCAATCTACCTCTCACATCCGCCTGTAGCAGTAGAAAATTACCTCAGCTTTATGAGTGACTTACTATTAAGGAAAAGAAACAAAAAAAGGCTTTAAGAATCCTGCCCTTCTGTAGTATCAATCCTGCCATAAAAATCTTAGATTTAGAGAAACAGGATTAAGCTAGTGGATTTCAAAGATTTAAGGAAACTCCCAAGCCACTCCCTACCTTTGGGAAATATATTCTGGTTCAAAAATATTTGTGGCTAGTTAAGCCACAGTTCCAGCTTTTCTGTTTAGGTAGATCAACACAGCTGCATGCAATGGGAGTACAGTGACTTAAATCAACAATGGATGCATTGTCAGACAACACGGAACAAACTAACTTTAACCCCCCTCAAAAATCAGGTTACCATAACTGAATACTGTGTGTAACTGGAAAAATTCTTCTTTTGCATAGGTGGCTGCAATGTAAGAGTGACTACATTTGAGCCCATCTGACTATATGGGATCAGTATGACACAAAATGAGATCCTGCACACCAAAGTGTAGTCTACTCCCACTGATCCATCACTGATGTTAACCCAGAGTAACTCCATTCAGGTGACTCGTTGAATGCTTAAGTGCTTGTGCTTATGTGGCCAAAAGCCAAACCAGATCTAGCAGTCAAGTACTTCAACTGAGGTAACCCAAACGCATTTTGTGAAGATCAGTGCTACACCCATGTATAGTACATGAGGACCTAGTCTGTGCTGGGCGAAAATATTTGAGGACAGATTGTCATCTAAGGTGCTAGGCATTTGCTGTAGCAGAGCGAGCGTGCATCACAGGCGCGGATAAGGACACACGCAGTCTCAGACTTCTTTCATCCCAGACTGAACATCAGCTCAGGGGGAACATTAACCCTGTATGGTTCTATATAATGCACATCTTTCCCCTTCTCCTATTTTGCTCCACTTCTTTTTCAGCTCTCTCCTTTCTCATTTTAGCCTAATTCTGCTCCATTAGATATTCTGTCTCCTAACTCCTCCTCCTCCTCCGCAGGTGATAACAAACTGAGTGCATGTGATTTCAAGTCACACTATCAAGCCGAAGATATTTGAGTGACTGTAATTAGTCCAAACCAGTTCTATCATTTCTTTTTGAAATGAGTGATTTTATATAAATTTTAACCACAATCTAGTTCCAAAGAAACAGATACTCAAGTTTAGGATCCAAAATCCAGCCCTCATGTTGTAGCCTTCTGCTCCTACTGTGTGCAACATAATCCCATGTCTCACATAACAGAGTAAGAGCAACTTGACAGAAAATAACATCCTCCTGTCCGTGGCCAGCAAGGCACAAGGCTCCAGATGTGCCGTGCAGAAGGCAAGGAGTGGGAAAGGGGTAGGTACTATACCCACCCCAAATTTCACAGTAGTGCTTTGGAACGAGCATGCACTGGAATAAATTACATTCATCTTCTAACTACTCTTTGACCAGCACTGTGAAAACAGTACAGTTAGAGCAGGATTGGGAACCTCCCTTATTTCCTGAACTATGTTATAGCTAATGTGAGGCTAGGCGTTTCAAGAAAATAAACAGTAAATAAATCTGCTTTTTTATTTCAGCCCCCCATCCTTGCTCTTTCTCTGCTTGCATTCTCTTCTCATCCCTGCAAAGTGGTGGCCAATGAACTAATATAGTCTCCTATGACATTAAAATAATTTAGCAAGAAGATGTCCTCATTTAGTAATCTTACCATCTCCATCATCCTGACAGCATGTCTTCAGCAAACTATTAGAGTCTGCAATTTAGCACTGAGGATATGACATAGGAAGGCCTGTCACAGTCACCAGTGAACTTGTTCCATAGCTGACCTGTTGGCTGCAATCGGGCATCGAAAAAATTCCTCTGCTGCAGATTTAAAAAAAAAAGAAAAAGAAAAAAAAATCAATCACAGTCATTCTGATGTGAGAAAATCCCCAGTGCTCCAGACATGTCAGCTAATTCATCACTTCCTGGTAACATATATCAGTCCCTTGCTCCAAATCAAAAATAAAATCACATAAGAATTGAACATATGGAAGGCAATCCTATCTCCAGGGAGCACTCAAAAAAAAAAAAAAAAAAAACTCTGCAAACTAACAATTATTATTATAATGGAGTCCTCCCGCCCCCCTTGGAGAAGCCAGGTAAGCTTCAATACAATGAAGTTTTATGTGAATATAATGAATATAATTTGGAGTGATGACTTAGTCATTAAAGCAAATCTTCATCCAAGGTTAGGAGCAAGAAAGTTCTGGAGGCAGCCCAGGGCTGAATCTTTGAAAAGTCTGCAGAAGAGTTTTAAATGGTATCAAACAGATAGCCCCCGTCAATGCTATGAGACAGAGACACTCTGACAGTAAGAAGCTAGTTTTCAGCTGTAGTTACCCAAATTTCTTGCATGGGCTCAGCTCCTAAGCCTGCTATGGATACCTAGGTTGAGCTTACATATGATTTGAGGAAGAATCACTTTCCTTCATTTTATCCAGCCAGTAATCCACTTGCTTCCTCTAATGTCTTATCAGAGCCAATTTACTTTGTTGATCTTGACCAATTTTAGAGTGGGACAGAGTCCATCTGTGGTCTGACTTGCCCTCTAGAGGTGCTTCCTGATTTCTCCATTGTAGAGGGAACCTAAGTGACTAGCGCAACTAGTTGCCTGTCTTTTGCAGGGGCTGAAGTTAGTTGAGAAGAAGCCCTCTGGAAGAATACAAGTACACTAGGCAATTCAGCTCCACATGAGGCTACAGCCTAGGTCACAAACCAGATTGGTTGCATGGGTGTTGCGCTGAAGGTTAATTAAGTCAATGTACTGGCATCTGTAATTGAAAAACAGAGCTGGGTTTAGGGTCTCCAATTTTGAAAGGTAGGCTTCCATTTATTAGCCTCCCTAAGCAGTAGAAAATGTGAACACAAGCACAGAAAATGGAAACACCGTCTTTCCTTACTGTCTTTTCCTTCCGGCAAATAAACCTGTGATTTCTTTAAAAAAATCCATGTATCCCTAAATCCATGCATTTCTAGCTTTTACTTAGTGCTTGAACAAATGACAAGCTCCCAGAATACCCTCCCATCTGCTGAATGCTTGCAGAACTTTTGGTTTGCTCTTCACTATCATCTTAATGAATTGCCCTAAAGCACACCTTTCACTTCTCACCTTTCACCTGTTTATCAAATCTTTCTTGCCACGTTTGTTAATTATTGAAGACGTTTTTGTTTAAAGACGATTTGCTCCTTCCCTGCCAGTCTTCCCTTCCTACTTGACCCTGCAGTAAAGTTGCTCATCAAAGTAAACACAATCTGCCTAGTTTGCAAATGTAAGAACAAAGACAGCTAAGCGGGAAACAAATGGGCGATGTTGCAATATGCAGAGTTTCTGCTTTGCAAGCTGTCCAACTCTACTAGAAGGAGCATTTAGTCACAAAACAAAAAGTATAGTTGTTCTTTCATCAGCTGCCCATGTTGCTTTGAAAGTAATGATTTGTATGGGGGAGTCCATTACATAAAGCCGTAGAGATGGACTATGAGCTCTGTTTTATATATAAAGCACCAGATGGTGAAATTACATAATTTAAATGTTATATATATATATGCACATATATATATTTATATTTTCATATATCAGCTTTACTGAGGTGATGGGAAGTTATATCTTGGGGACAATGCCTGTTGCTAGTTATGGTATGAGTTTGTGTATAAGCTGTTTCTGGCTGATATGAAACAACTTCTTAGGTGCAGATTTCCTCCTTAAACCTTACCTTCGTGAAAACAAAAGGGATGAAAATCATGCTAAAACTTATCAGAAGAACAACAAAGGAATATATCATCACTTTGTTTCATAAAGTAATGTGCAAAATGGTTTGCATTATTAGTATTCCGCATCCCCAGGTATAATTGTAACGTATCACAGTGAATTTCCCAGTAACAATACTTTAGGCCAATATGTTACCCCTGCTCTGAAGCGATATGGGCAAAGGTGCAAAAACTCCATTGTTGGAACAGAACTTACTGCATTTTCTTTACTTTGTGCTAAGCATATCCTGAAGCTTTGTTCTCTTGCAGTTACCTTTCAAACAGCTTGCATCAAAAGAGAGCTAACCACTGCTGTAACCTGCTGGCTAAATGGAAAACAGCATCTGCTCAGAGCAAAAATGGCAGTGCTCAAATAGTATTAATACACGTTCTACTTCCACCACTGGAGAAGATGACAGAATTATAGCAGGAAGAGGCCCCAGAGAACACAGAGGTAATTCTCCTCAGCAACTCCCATGCTCTTTAAAGGTGCCCATAGCACTAGAGCTGCAAACGATGCAACAGCATAGAACTGTTCAGCATAGACTCTGCTTTTCTAACAAAGGTTGTCAACGTTGTTGGTTAAATCTAGATGTCACTCAAATGAATTAACTTGAAGAAATGGTATGTTTGTTCTTACTTGTTCTTCCATGCAAGTACCTTCTCAGGGTGATGGTTCTCTCTTCCATGCACCTTGACTGAGCTACAGAGGCTCACCAGTTTCAGTCCTGGCCCTCGTTTCACTTGGTGGCTTTACCTGACACAGGATCCTAATCAATCACAAGGACTCTGAGACAGATTTTCAAGTACTTTCCACATGAAAAAGTCCCTGTCTCTGGCCTGCTAGTTCCAGAAGAGCTGGGACATAGCACACACAGTGGCAAAGAACATGCTAGACATTTCTATTAGCATCTATTGTGACATGCCATCTGTAAGAATAACTGCAAAAAGACTGTGGATCTTGTATTACTATTCTGAAATGACTTCGGTACTTAGGGCACCCTGACAGAAGTAACTGTCTTAACCTATATGGGAGAAAGAAAAACCTCAGCTGACCCTAACAAATTTTCAGCCTGTGTTTTCAGATAAAACGTCATACTTAATGCTCATGTTTGACTTGTTCTCCAATACCAGACTAAGTTGAGTGTGTCCACTGAAGTCATATGTTATGATACTTACTAATAGCTGAATATTTGCTGAAAAGTCACATTATTCAAAAGCCACAGACTCAGAAGTTCCCTGACCTTTCACTGCAAGAGCCACAAGCCTGATCAAACATGCTTCGTTAATCTCAAAATAAGATGATTTCCTCTAAAAAATAGAAGTGAAGGATGATGTACAGCTGACTGCTTCCAAACCCCATGAGGGTAATTAGCATGCGATAACCATGCCATTTGGATATTTCTTACTCCTGCTTTCAAAATACTGGAAGCATGTTTCATGCAGATTACTCTCCGCACTGAGACAAGAGAGTCTGGTGGCTTTATCTTTGAAAAACTGAAGGCACTCGTACAGTGTTTTGGGAGAATTCCAGGAGGAGACAGGTAGGTGCATTCTTTTATTGGAATGATGAAGTAGTAATTAGCCTGCAAAATAAGCTCACAAAGAGATTGTGGGATTTCCATAGACAAGGACTTGCTGAATTCTGCAGTTTTGCATTTAAACCACCAATCCCATGGACAATACAACAGCATTCAGCATAGGAAACTTCATTGGAATATGCTGACTCTTAGCAGATCTGTGGTTGACCTGGATCTTAACTTGCTTGAACAGTATTCACATTAAAAAAAAAAAGTGATTTTGATATATGTATGTTTGCACATGTACATAAATAAATTATATATATGAATAATAGTTAAAACTTCATAATAACATACTGTATGTATATACATACACATATTTATTTTTCCAGGTAAAATATAGAACCGCTCATCAGGGAATGCCATCTCACTGGTATCCTACTAATTTAGTATTTATGATAATAGTAAACTGGTTACTTTTGCAATGGATTAGGTCCCTATTACATCAAGTGCTGTGCAGATACAAACAAGGAGCTGGCCCTTTGGCAAAACATGTCTTCAGTAGAGGAAAAAACTCTCTACCTTCAGGTTTACAGATCAACTATCTTTCTTCACATTACAAATGCCACCAGAAATAGTCCTTCCACTTGCTATTTTAGCATATGAATAATTGTTACCACATATCTTTTGATGATAACTAGCCATTTTCAAAGAGGATACTATGGGCATCATCTCTGGAAGCTGACACTGTGCTTGCAAATGGCTGTTGGCCTTCAAAAACAGAAAGAAACAAGAGCAGGCTTTGAGCGAACATTAATTTAAAACGTAATTTTCATCCCCTGCCTAAGACTCACATGAGATTTATGCTATTAAATATTAAATACCAAGATCATTATGCAGTGAGGCAGCTTTATTGAATAAAATTATATCAAACAATAGAATCACTGCAGTTATTAACCATATAACAGTTTTCAGAAAATATTCCAGTGCAAAGACCTGGAAGAATAATATCTTTCAGTCAATGATTTACTCAAAAAATTCCTTATCTATGCAATACTGGATAATTACATACTCAGAGTACATGCTGTGGACAAGGCTGCTCATTCTCATAGTCACTATTAATTGTATTTAACGCTCTTTATGTATACAAAATTTGCATTGACATGACAGAAGCTTTTGCATTGACATGACAGAAGCTTTTACTTCACTGATATATATGAAACTCTGAAATACAAGGTTTTGTTCTTATTATTCAACAAAGCGAAGAATTCACAGTGAATAAGGTATTTTTGAAATTCAGCTCGTTTTCCAGTTTGTGTAAAATCCAAGAGCAAATCACAATTTCTATTTTTTTCTTACATTGTACTCTAGGGAGTTATTCTGAATATTCTGCATGAGAGTGGCCATTACTTTGCTGAGACTGACTGGCTAAGTGACATGGGGCTGATTCCCTTCCATGATAGAATGGAAGCACAAACACTTCCTGAACGATTACTGAAATTGACTTCTAATTAACATTGGTGCCGCCAAATCTCAATTATCCAAAGCTTGCAAGCA